TGCTTTAGACCACTGAGCCATCTCACCAGCCCAATAGTATTATTTTTAACTAAATTATTAACTATTATTATGTCAGTTTAAGACAGACTAATTTGGGGGCCTGCCCATTAGCTCAATTGTTTAAGTGCCTGCTTAAACAAAGTAGTCAGCCTCAGGGTGCTGTGGTTCGAACCCCCTGTTCCTCAGGCCTTACCACACATGCCCTGAAGGCAATCTGAGGCAGACCCAAAAAAAACAAAAGCAAAAAGACAGGTTAATTTGTTTCCTTTTAAGCAATTGTAGGAAAAAACATGTGTCCAATATTGGATAAATTATTATTCAACTTCATATAAATTAAGAACCTTTGTCCTGTTAGAGATTACAGTCTCACCAAACCTGATTTTTGTCTTTTTGTTTCTAAAATTTTTGTCTCTATAATTATCATTTACATGCTTGGAAATAAAAAAGAAGAATATAAATAATTTACAAATATAGTGCACTTAGAAATGGGTTTGTTTGCAGCATAATACAGCATGGATCTAATACAGTTCATTCTATTCTCTTATTATACTTGCATTTAAACTTGACTTTTTTTTTTTTTTTTGGGTGGAACCAGGGATTGAACTCAGGCCCTTTTTCGCTTGCCAAGCCCTTTTGCACTTACTCTACTGAACCACCTCCCCGGCCCCTTTTTGCTGTTTTGCTTAGTCGTTTTTCTGAGTGTGTGAAGCTTCCTGTCTAGTATGTGAGATAAATTTTGTCCTAGGGGCATGTTCAAATGTTAGGAAAATGAAACTGGTGTAAAATAGGAATAGGAGAAACTTTTGGTAACATTGATTTTCTTTTCACCAAGTTGTAGTTGGAAAATTTTCCTTTAATCTGTACTTTGTCCATATTTTAAGAGTGTTAAGAAAAGTATAAATGATAAAAATCTGAAAAAGACAATGGAGGATGACAGTAAAGAGAGTGAAGACGAAAAAGATAATGATAGCTACATGAAAGAGAGAAAGGATATCCCTTCAGGAACAAGTAAGCACTTACAGAAGAAAGCAAAGAAGTTAGCCAAGAAGCAAGCCAAGGTCAGTACTTGTGAGGAAAATCATGCTTTTCTAATTTTATTTTGGAACTATTGTGTTTATAGTCTGATTTCATTTGGTAATTGTACAATCTGCTCATTTAAGTCTAGGTAGACATTAATCACCCAGGTGGGTGCCCAACGGCTCCGGACTCATCTCTTTCAAAAAATAGACTTTTGTTCTTTCTATGCCCACTTGCTATGTGACCTGCTACCCCATTGGATCAATATTACCTAAGCAGCTATACTTGTAATCTTATTGGTTGATCAGAGTTTTGACCCACCTTATACCTACCTGGTGATTTTGTACCCACCTTGTGATTTTGCTCTGAAGCCCTTCCTGTGTAAAGCTGGGCCATAGCAATCCCCTTTCAGGTCTCCTATGTCTTAGGAACTCTCTCTCACAATAAATATTTCTTACTGCTAAAAAAAAAATTAAAAAAATAAAAAATCTGCTCATTTAATATTTTCTATAGGGAAATTGATTTAGGTATATGTGAAGAAAGGAAAGATTGTGTTCCTCTTTTTCTTATAAATCTTGTATTACTTGTGACAGCTATTTTTTTATTTTTTAAAGAGAATTTAAAATATAGTAAGAATAATTAGAAATGATACAGAATTTCATTAAACAAAATGATAGGAACTCAACAATGGTTGCTGTCCTCAAAATTTACCAGATATAAACCTGTAAGTTTGGTCAAAAAATTATAAAAAAAAAAATAGAAAAAAATTAAGCATTAAATTTAAGCCCCTTTTAATAGACCAGCAAAAATCAGCAGTATGATTATCTAAGCTATCCTACTTATATACATTTATATATTTCCTTTCTCCTTCTTTCTTTTATCTTTTCCCTCATCCCAGGTGTTCTTCCTTGGGACAATTTCTTTTCCCTTTGACAGAATCCATTGTACCTTGACAGCTATTTTTATTTATTTATTTATTTATT